TCAGAAGATACACTGGAGAGAACTCGTATCTGGAGATTCTGCCTATGCCATCAGCAGCTGCTACGTGTGAGATTTACTCACTGGAAGCCAGGGAGGCCAAACACTCCTTCAGAGCTGGAATTTGGGCTACGGCAACATGAGGTCCTCAAAAGGATTGAGGAAACAAGCACCCATGCCTAACTCGGAGATCCAGAGTCCTGTGAAAAGTGCCCTCCCAGGACACTCTGGAAAGGTTTTTTGGATTGTTTGTTTGCTTGTTTCCAGGCAGAGTCAAAAATCCACATAGCAAAGGCTGGAAACAAAGGAGCAGGGAACGACAAGGCACAGATGCAAACCAACAGAGAGCCTCCTGTTTCATCCTCCTAACAGAAAAAAATCTGAGGGGCTGATGAGATGGCTCAGTGGTCTAAAGCACCTAGTTAGAACAAGCTCAGCAAAGCACAGGGACTGCGGTTCAATCCCCCAGCACCACATGCCAGCCAGCCCCCTGGTGGGCTGAGCTGGCCACACACACACAAATAAATAAATAAAAATTTAAAAAAAGAAAGAAAGAAAGAAAGAAATCTGAACGTGGTAGTTAGGACCGTGCTTCTGAGCAGGGCCTGTAGGCACCAGCCCTTCAAGGCCTATTTGGTAACATGGAAAGCACTCTTACTTTAGGAAAGTACAATAAGATAGTGAACTAGGGGCTGGGGAGATGGCTCAGTAGGATAAGTGCTTGACTGGCAAACGCAAGGATCTGAGTTCAATCCCCGGTTCTGAAAAAAAAGATAGTGAACTTGGAGAAAAATATTTCTTTTTATGGTGGGAAAGAAATATATCAAAATATCAGTAGTGATCATCCCCAGGTACTAAGATTTGGGATAATGTCCATTTTCTTTAAGACAAACTATCATGTTCATGAATTCTAAGCTGAGTGAGGTGGTGCATAGCTGTAATCCCAGCACATGGGAGGCTGAGGCAGGAGCATCGCTGTGAGTTTGAGGCCAACCCGGACGACAAAGTGAGTTATAGATCAGCTTGAACTACCTGGTGAGACCTGTTTGGAAAAGACCAAAATCTCAAGCAAGCAAACAAAATTCTAGGGCCGGGGAGATGGCTCAGTAGGATAAGCGCTTGACTGGCAAACGCAAGGATCTGAGTTCAATCCCCGGTTCTGAAAAGGAAA